CATCACCAGCTGACTTTGAAATTAAAAACATCCAAAAAAAAATCCTAAGAGCTGTCACATCCTTCCATACAATAACCTTCAACTCTTATCTCTTTCTGGCTTCAAATGCACCAGCTCAGCTGGTTTTTTTCAAAGCGTACTGATGGCACGTAGTACTAACCACCAAATTAATGCTTCCTCTGGAGCCAGGCCATCTGCAGAGGCAAGAGCTGGAACTGGGAAGTAAAATGGATCAGAAGCCTTGAATCAAGTCCTTGTTTAATGCAGAGATAATCTGTGCTGTTAAACCCAACCAAAACAGTCCTGAGCCAGAAGACACAGGGGGGGTCTACACAGAGTGTTCAGTGACCCTGACTCAGTGAATGTCCTCAGCTTTGGTCTCCTGACTCTGTGGGTCAGAGCAGGGCCAGCACAGGCAGGACACTGGCCATCAGGCAGGACACTGGCCATTAAACAGGACATTGGCCATCAGGCAGGACTGCAAGAGGAAGAACCCCCAGGAGCCACCTCCGAATCACCCAAGGATGTGCCAGTTGCTTAAACCAACCCCCTTGGCTTAAACCAACCTCTTTGGCTTAAACCAACCCCCTTGGCTTAAACCAACCTCTTTGGCTTAAACCAACCCCCTTGGCTTAAACCAACCTTCTTGGCTTAAACCAACCCCATTGGCTTTGCTTTGGGATAGGCAGGAGGAGAGGTCCCACACACGTGGGGCTGCCTTTGGAGGCCAGGGAAGATGAATGCCTGGCTCTAAAGCAGGGTCTGCTGCCTCCCAGGCAGTGTTTGAGTTGTCTGAGACAAACAGACCTTGACAGGGACAGCATGACAGCGACTGACATGCAGAAGTCCAGGGTCAGGCTGTGTTTGCAGCATCCCTCCAGGACCCTGAACAAGAGGGCACTGAAGGAGCTCTTCTTTCCATGTTTCCTTCCTCTAGGAGTGGCAACTGCTGTCCCCAAACAGGGATGGGGAAAATGTGATAGGTTAATGATGCTGTTTGTTCAACCTTTCTGTTCCTGCACAAAGCTTAGTGAATATGGAAGGAAGAAAAGGCTCCTGTGCCAGGATCTGTAAGATGCAGGTCTGATGTGGGAGGTGTATGTGAGAGCACAGCAGAGGAAAGAACCCGCAGCAGGGCCAGCAGCAGCTCCTGGCTCAGGGCATGGGCCTCCCTGGCCCAGCTCAGCACCTGTGTCACATCCCCCAGCAGCCCCAGAGCGGGGCTGGAGGTGTGCAGAGCTGGTTTCTGACACAGCTCCCTCAGCTGCTACTTCCTCTAAAAGCTGCAATTTCAGTTTCTCTCCTTTCTCTTTGTCCCCAGCCACTCTGGTTCCCCAAGCAGGTTTGCAGAGGCAGTGATGGGCATGGAAAGGGTTATGGATAGGGGAGAAAAAACCAAAAATACAGCCTTGTTACCAACAGCCCCTTCCGGCCCCCTGACCTCTGCCACTCACAAGGCAGGACATCCACCACAGGCAAAGCGATTCCAAACTGGTACAAAAACCCCTCCTGGTCCTAGAGCCACAGGAACCGGCGAACAGCGACCCCGCCCAGGGCCCGGCAGGGGAGCAGCGTGTACCAAGGTGCTTTTCATAAGAATGCCTCTTAAAGAAAGCAGGGACACGGGTGTTTGCAGCTCAGAAAGAGCTGCTGCAGAAAGTGGAGCAGAGCGAGCTCTGACGGTGACTCTTTGCACGCTGAGATTTGCACTCCCAGCTCCTGCTCTCACCTCCAACCACCAAATGATGCTCAGCTTCTACCAGAGGCAGCTGCAGCACTTTGTGGCTTTCAGGGCAGCGTTTCTCAGCAGGAATTCAAAGCAAAGAAGTTTGTTCTGATACCAAGGTTTTTTAAATTTTTAATTGCATTTTCTGAAGCTGTTTGCACTGATAGTATCTCTTCTCCTCTCCAATGAAATGTAAAAGGAGATGGAAGAGATCAGGATGAAAGAGATGTAGCAACAAGAATAAACAATATTCAACAGCTTTCCCCATCCCTTGCTACTCTTTTTCACTGACTTTGTTCCAGTAGAAATATTCCAACCAACTCTACTTCCACTCGCTTCCAGATGGGAAGGAAAGCTCCAACTTCACTGCTGGCACAAGGTTTGATTCCTGACTATGTCTAGCGGGCCAGGTGAAGGTCTGCTGCACAGATGGAGCCTCCAAAACTTGCATCTCTTCCTTCCCAACTGCAGCACCGAAATTCGTGGGTGGAGGAAGATCCTTTTCAGCTCTCAGCCAAGGACCTGGCACCTCAATTTGCCTTTTTTTAAAGCCTCCAGCAGCTGTGCTCCAGAGGTGGGTTTGAGGACAACTTCTTGGCCCTGGTCTGGCAGGGAACAGCCCTCAGCAGGTGCATGCCAAGGGAAAGGGAAAGGAGGAACAGGGAGCAATGCAGCAGCTCTAAAGGATTTAGCTCCCCATTAAAGGCTAACAATACCCCACAAGTGCCCTATATTTAACTCTTTCCTTACTGAGCTTATTTATAAAATATGGAACATTTCCTTTTCTTCTATCTTGGGGCCAGCTTGGTTTGAGCACCCTGTTTATAAGCCTGTAAAGAACACAGATGTGGCCACACTCCAGAGTGCAGTGTGTGCCTCCACTATTTGTCATCCTCATCCTACCCAACCCAGCCCCTGCCTGTGCTCTGCCAGAGCCCCTCTGCCTGCTCAGCCACTCCAGAAAAGGATTCCCTTTGCCACAGGATGGAGGAGAGGAAGTTCTTAAGGGGCTCCCTTCCAGAAAAACATTAAAAATCAGCTCAGACAAAAAGAAAGTCAGGGACTGTATAAAGGCAAGGAAAGAAAATAAAGGGGAAGGCTCTCCTGCAAGCCTCAGGTGTCTGGAGACACCAGAGATGCTCAGGTATGTTGGCCAAGAGAGGAGACAGAGAACTCAGATCCTGAAGTCATTGACCTCCCAAGGGAACAATTAACCACTGCCATGAGCTTGCAAAGTGCTGAGCCCCGGGACTCCCTGCGTTCCAGGTAATTGCTTTTCCCTTCTGTTGCCCACTAAAAAAGAGTTGAGTAGGAAGGAGTTCCTGCAGTGCAGGATCAGCTCTTCTGACACCAACCACAACAGGACCTTTCCTAATTCTGAGAATTTTCCCTGCAGGTTCTCAGGAACAGCTGGAAACAAGTGGCTGCATTAATCTCAGTGAGATTGTAGCAGAGCAGCCTAAACCATCTTCATTTCAGGGCTCCTTTCCAAAGACTAAAATACACTTTTCTCCTGTGATTGATCAGAGCTGTCCCGCCCTCAGTTACTTTCCTGGGAGTTCTCCCTTTCCATTCAATAAAGCACAGCCAAGCCCTGGGACTCCCAGCCCCACAGTGTCCCTGGGAACTGCCCCACCTTAGGAGAGCAGAGACTGCTCAACACAATTCCTCCACAGCTCAGACACAGAATTCTGAAAATACAGGTGAATCACAGCACTGGATTGTACAGTAACTGGCTGAGTAAGTCTTTGTTGTAACCCAGTATTAGTAAAAAATACTCCGTATCTCACCTCGCTTGGTGACATTGTTAACTAGCAGCAAAGATCAGAGGAAAACTGACTAAAACTGAGATAAAAATCAAAACCCGCTTTTGTGAAACTCATCAAAAGTCACGATCAGACGCAGTTAAACACTCCTGAATTTATCTTCATTTTCCCCAGGCTTTGTTCCTGCCCTGCACGTTCCACAGCCGGCAGCCCAACAATCCACTGCCACGTTTAAACCTGGAGCCGCAACAGTTGTGGTTGTGCAACGCCACATCTGCGATTGCTGGATTGTTTGCATGGCTGTATTGTTCAGCCCAGCTTTGAACGACCACCCTCCGCTCAGGTTTCGTGTCTTTTAAAAAAATCCCAGCAAGCCTTCCAACTGCAGTCACTTTCGTGCCATGATTTTCAGAAGGATTTCATAAGTATTTCATTCTCAACGATCTGCACGACCGCATCTTTCTAGCCACGACAACTGAGTCGGTTTTGTCCCGAAATTGCATCGCCAAACAAGGCGGCCGTTGCTTATCAGGCGTTTTATCTGGTTTATAACCGAGGAGCAGTGAAAGATTGTGCAAAGAGGGGAGAAAGAGCCCAGAGGACGGGAAGTCTAAGGGTGAGACAAAGGACCGGCTGGACTATGGACTTGGGGGAGTTGCACTGTGTGGAGCTGGGAAGGCGATCCCGCAGGACAGGCGGGCACGGGGAAGCAGCAGCACTAATCCCAGTCCCCCCAAATTTCCTGCCGTCCTTTCCCCCTCGCCGCGGGCAGCAGGAAGGGCGGAAAGGGGCCAAAGCACCGGAGACGGAGCTTACCTGTGCACTTCCTTTTGAAGGTTTCGTAGTCTACCCCTTGGTCTCCAGGGACGATTGTAGAGCCATTGTACTTAAACGTCACCCTTCGGGGAGGGAAAAGACAAGAGGAATAATACAGTTAAAAGTCACCTTTCGAATGGGGGAAAGGAAAGGGGAATTACACGTTTAAAAGTCACCCTTTGGAACGGGGGAAGGGAAGGTGAAGAATACATCGAACGGTCACTATCTTTAGGAAGGGAAAGGAGGAGATGGGGAAGAATAGGCTGTGGAAAACCCCATCCTTTAGGAAGAGGGGACGAGGAGAAGGGGACAAGGTCTGTAGAAGCCACCCTTTGGGGAGCGGGGAGAGGGGACGGCGAACCCCCGCGCCCCGCTGCCCGTCCGGGGGGATGCCGGGGGGCCACCTACCAGTTCACCTCGGTGGCATCGTCCCTGACGAGGTTGTACGCCTCCCTGCACGCCTCCTTGTCGATTTTGGTGGCCATGGGGGCGAAGGGGAGGGGGGCAGCGCGGAGCGGCGCGGAGCTGGGGGGGCCGCGGCCGCCGCTGCTGCCGCACCGCGCTGAGCGAGCCGAGCCGAGCCGAGCCGAGCCGAGCCCCGCCAACCGCGGCCGGCCCGCCCCCGCCGCCGCCGCCGCCAATGGCTCTGCGGGGCCTGGCCCGGCCCCTCCCGGCCCGGCGGGGGGACCGCGGTGATGCAATAGCCCGGGCACGGGGGCGCGGGGGGCTCGGCCCGGCCCGGCGCGGCACGGCACGGCACGGCACGGCACGGACCCGCCGCGGGGATGCTTTTCCCGGCCGCCGCTGTGTTGGGAGCGCCCCGATGCTTCGGCAGGCGCTGAGGGCCGGGAGGAGGAAGGAGGCAGAGGCGGCGCCCGGGATGGAGCGGCCGGCGGCGGCGCGGCGGGGCCGCGGACCGGGCCGGGAGCACGGGAGGTAGCGCGGAGCGGAGCAGGTGAGCGGGGAATCGGGGCCGGGGATGGGGATGGGGGCCCGGGGATGTGCGGAGCAGCGGGGGCTGAGCATCACCCGCATCCCGGCCCCAGCGCTCAGGGCGGCCCCGGCCTCGACCGGCGGCTCCGGGGTGACTTTGGGTGGTGACAGCCGCTGCTGGGCCGGGTGTGTGTGGGGGGCTGTGTGTCTGTCCGTGTGTCTGTCCGTGTGTCTGTCCGTGTGTCTGGCTGTGTGTGTGTCCGTGTCTGTGTTGAGCGGCTCGCCCCGTTCCAATGCAGCGATCTCCCCCTGCCGGGCTCCCGGCGCTGCCCAGGAGCCATCCCGCATCCCTGTCAGTCCCTGCGCTCCGGGGAGATGCGGGCTGAGAGGCTGAGGCTGCCTGTGGGGCTGCGTTTCAGTTCCACAGAAATAGAGACAGGTCTCTGCTTTGCACAACCCGGCTGGGAATAAACAGCACCAGGTGATGTCGTGCCCAAGGACTGGAGTTTTATTAACCAGTCCTTCGGCATTTCAGTGGGTATCAAAACCCATTAAAACTAACCCTCTTTTTAGGGTTGGATTTGCCATTTAATAAAAAAACTGCATTCCTTGATAAAAAGTATCACATTTTGTTTCTTTTAAAGTTTGCAGGGGATGACCGTTGCTCGTTTCCCATCAGTGCTGTCCCTGTGAAGGCTGAGCAGTAGGAGCCTCATTACCCCACTGTCACTGAGAGCTGTTACACCCGAGGGACAAGAGCTCCAGAGCCAGCCCTGACTGCCAGGGACCCTTTAGTGCCACCAGTCCTGCCCGCAGCTCCTCCCAGCTGCATCCCGGTCCGTCCCTGCATGACGTGAGGCTCCCGGAGCTCCGGGGCCCAGCACGGGCACTGCTGCAGTGCATCTCTGAGCCGATGAGGTCATAGGGAACAGGGAAATGTTTCTGAAGTCAGTGCAAGTGTAGGACACCGGGTGGATCACGCTCGGTATCTGCAGGCTCTGGAGGATAATATAATCACACATTAATACTTCTGGATTTATATTGATTTTCTTTGCTTTTAGGAACACTTTCATTTATTTTCTAAAGCCTTTATGCTGAGCATTATCTGCTCATAAATGTATTTTTTGTAGTCTGCTTTTATCATCCATTGGCACTTGCTGCTGTTTATACCTGTAACATTGCTGCTTGTCCTTGTCCCTTCAATCCCTTGTCCCTGATGTTTCCTAGGGCAGAGGTGGGTGACTCCAATGTCATCCCCTTAGGAGGAAAGAACCTCATCCTTGTGCAGGTCTCTGTGACCCAGTGGCTGGAGCATTAATTCTCTTAATTAGGGACTTCATGCCTCACACTTTTCATTGCCAGATCCAAACATCAGAAATGCACATCTTCTTTGTGGGACCAAACCTCTTCTCTTTGCTTCTCTTCCTTGTCTTTTCCCACTTTTTCATGGATTTTTTTTTTTTTTAATGCATGGAGATATAAGTATTTGGCTCAATTTCACCAGGCTATTAGTGGAGTGAGGAAATTACCTACTTTTTTGACTTTAGTGAGCTCTGATTTGCTTTTTATGTGGCAATTCTGAGACCTCCAGAACATGGGGCTTTTCATCCTGTGAGGAAGATGTCACTGGCCTGGCAGAAATACCTGTCCATGTCACAGGAGTCCTTGGAGAGGAAGCACAAGAGAAAGTGAGGACTTATGGACCTCCTCAAAACAACATCTCCAGCAGGCATGGAGTCCTGGGAGTCTGAGTGACCTTCAGCTGTCTAGAATGTATCATGAGATTCAGGAAGGGTCTCAGAATATTTGGAGGGAGCTGAGCGAACAGGATAGCTCTGCACAGCTGTGGCCCCCCAGGAACATTATCTCTATCTTAAAATACACCCCTGAGAGTGCCTTGTCCCTGTGTCTCTTTGCCATCTCCCCCACTTTTTGCTTCTTCTCCAAGAAGACAATATGTCTGTCCCTAATCCTGCTTCTCCATCCCTGTCTTTTCTGTGCAGAAGCAGAGGAAGGAATGGAGAGAACAATGCTCTCCTTCAGGAAGAGGCTGCCTTGAATTTCCAGGTTACAGTTAGCATCGGGGTTGTCAATTTTCAGGTCACATTAATGGGGTTGTCAATTTTCAGGTCACAGTTAGCACTGGGGCTGGCAGCAGAGCGGGATTTCACTCAGACAGTTGCGGGTCTTTACCCAGGTCCTCATGGTCACACGGGCTACAGGAGAGACCAAAGCTGGCAGAAATCACTTTCATCTCCAGACTCAATAATCAATAGATGAGTACAAGCTCATCATCCCCTCTGGTTTCCTGGGGTGTCCCTGGAGCTGGCTGGCTGCAGAGGCTGGGGCAGGTGTGGTGCTGGCACCAGGCAGCCGTGGCACACTCCCCTGGTGTCACACTCCCCTGCTGTCACACTCCCCTGGTGTCACACACTGTGCACATCACGCTCTGCCAGCCATGGCAGCCCCTCACCACCCAGGACATGAGTCCAAGCTGGGCTGTCCTTGATGAGAGCAGACAGAGCCTGGACACACACCCAGCCTTCTGCTGTCCCCACGGTCACCTCTGGAGGATGCCCGGGGTGCTGGGTTAGCAAAGGGCTTTTCTCCTTGGACCACTGCACTGAACCTGGACCCGGGCCGTCTGTGTAGTGTCTTTGCTTCTGAGCTCCCCCTGGGGCAGGGAATTTTCAGCCTGCTGCTCACCAGGGGGAGGTTCTTAATTTTGAGCCTCCTGGGCCATAAGGAATGAGGGAAAGTCCCACAGAAGCAGGGAAAGCCCCGCTGGGGAGGTGAATTTCTGAGGTCAGGGAGTGTCATGCCAGGTAAGCAAGAGATGGTGATGGGGTTTCAGGGGCCGTCTGTGTAGTGTCTTTGCTTCTGAGCTCCCCCTGGGGCAGGGAATTTTCAGCCTGCTGCTCACCAGGGGGAGGTTCTTAATTTTGAGCCTCCTGGGCCATAAGGAATGAGGGAAAGTCCCACAGAAGCAGGGAAAGCCCCGCTGGGGAGGTGAATTTCTGAGGTCAGGGAGTGTCATGCCAGGTAAGCAAGAGGAGATGCTGCACCTCCCACAGCCACTGCACAGTTTATTACCGCTGTACAAACTAACACAAAAAACCCCACATTCCCTGTAGCCAATGCCCCTGGCACGGCTATCCATGTCCGCCTTGCCTCAGGCCTTGCCAGCGCCATCCCTGACCCGGCACCCCGCTCCGCTCCGGCCCCGCTCCGCTCCCGCCCCGCCGGCGTTTCCTGCCCCGGCCGCGGGGCGAGGGGTGTCTGCAGCCTCCAGGAATTTGTCACCGCTTTGTTCTCCCCGCTGTTTTCCGCCCGGATTTTGTCCCCGCGGCCGATGTAGCGGCGGAGCGGGGCCGGGGCCGGTCGGTCACCGCGGCCGGGGGGCTCCGGCCGGCCCCGGGCAGCGCTCGGCGCTCCCCCGGCAGCCAGCGCTGAGCCCGGTGCCGCGGCTGGGCTGGGCTGTGCCCAACTTGTTGACACAACCGACCTTAGACAACAGCGGGGAACTGCAGCGAGGAGGGAAAATTAATATTTTTTAACCCGGGCATTTGCAAGGGGCGGATCAGCCGGGCTGGGAATTGCATTCCCGGATCAGCCGGGCTGGGAATTGCATTCCCTGCTCAGCCCAAGATGCGTGTGAGCGCTCAGGAGGGGCTGGCGAGCTGCTGAACATCTTCCTGTGCCTTTGTTGCAGAAGTGCTGCGGATCGGGCGGTCATGGAGGGAACCCGGCAGAGCAGGATCTGCCGCCCGCACAAGATAAGTGAATCCTCGAAGGTTCGTACGGTTTGTGGCACCTACCAAAAAAATCCCGCTGGGGGTAGAGGGTCTCCTTTGGGGGGAATGTGAGAATGCTGAGCTTTTAAAAAGAGGGATGGAAATGGTGGTTTACCTGCTCAAGTATTTTTGGTAGAAGTTGCTGCCTAGTGATTAAGGGGAAAAAAAGGAAAAGAAGCAGCAAACGGCATCTGCTCATCATGACTCATAACTTAGAAACCCACATCATTGCAGCACAGTAGTTTCTCTGTACTAAAAATTCTGTTATGAAATGTGGTGTGTTTGTTTTTTAAACTGATCCATCTCGTAAAATCCAAGCTCGTTACAAAAGCAAAGCTGGGATTACTCTTTAGATTCAGGCTTGGTTTTGTACAAAATGGGAGCCTTGATTCTGCAAACTGTGCTTAGCCCAGTGAACTCACAGAACCTCGGTTGCTTTCTCAAGTTTGTGGGGTTCATTTTCTTTGTATCAAAGCTCTGTCTGCACAAATACATTGTTTTTATTTGTGAATTCACGGAAATCCATCTCAGGCAGCTCTTTATGCAGGTCCTCAGGATGACTTATAAAATGCTAATAACAGCTGTAATTATTATGTTCACTTTGTTTCATGCCAGTGCAAGCTGCTTTTGTGCTGTAGTTACAGGAGCTGCAGAACAGGTACCTTGTAATACCAGAAAAAAAGCTGGAAAAAGAAACTTTTCAGTGCTTCCTTACCAAAGCTGAACGAGCCAGATCTCATTTTCTTTTGCACCATTGATGAGCAGCAGTGCTGCATTAACAGTCTGAGAGAAATTAGATCTTTGAATCCAAGAGAAGCTGAAATTCTGCTCTAACACAATTGATGAAAGATAAATAGGACTAATTTTTAAATGCATCCCTACCAATATAATCTTTCCCTCAGTGCTGATCCTGTCTGCCACTTAAATGGTTTAGTCTGAATGTAATGATAATTCATCACATTAAAAATTAATTAACTTGACAGCATTGTTTTATTTGCTTGCTTAGACAGCAGCTGTCACTATCTGTTAAACTTAGAATCGCTGGATAATGTGAAGGCTGCTCTACAGACTATAAATAGCTTGAGAAAGATGTTCAAGTTCAGTATGAAATTGGTCTTGGTTCTGAAATGTGCAGCTCTCAGCTCCTGTTTCTTGCTCCCTGAACAAATGAAGTCACCAAGTGGGCTGAAATTCTGAGCTGCTGTGCTGTGAGTGCCTCCGGTGCAGTGTGGAATGATTCCTGGAGCAGCAGCAGTCCCACATGGCAACAAGGATTTCAGGAGAGCGAGTTGCCAGGCGGATCTGAGGGCAGGATTACGCTGCTGCCTCAACATCCAGCTCAGCAGAGAGGGATCTCTGGCAAATCTTATATTCCGCTGTAATCTCGTTATGCATGACGGTGGTATTAGGGAATATTAGAGAGAAATGATCAGCCAGCTCCCAGGGATGAGAGGGAGGATGGGTTTGGTTCAGTCCAAGGGTTTGGATCAATCCTATCCCCCGTCAGTCAGATTTGGGAGAGGGTGCTGCAAGTTGTTATTTCTTGTCTGTTCATCTGCCACCACCAACTACCCCTGATTACAGCTGCCACAGAAGTGTGGTTTATCCTTTGCCATATTTATTCTTCTGCCCTCCTCTCCACCCCCTGGTTTCTGCTTAGGCTCATGTACAATATCAGCTTTTCCCAGCCTCAGGAAAATTCAGATAAAAAGCTTTACAGTCCTTAAACACAAATTTTTTTCCTGTTACAAATCTCTGGCAGTTTTATTCCTCAGTGGAAGCCACTTTGTTGTCTATGCCATAGATCCCTTCTTAAGTTCAGAGGTGTGTTCATGAGTAGAAGGCAAATTAAAGAGTTCTGGTCCAGAAACCTTTTAATTATTGAAGCCTCTTCCCTTAGACTGGTTTAACTCTGCACATTTGAGTGTTCAGAGCCATTCCAACAGCAGGATTTTTGGCAGCTTGGGCTCCATTGTTTAGAAAAGAACATAAGGAAATAAAGAGAATCTGCTGGGATGTCACAGTAAGAGCAGCACATTTGGTTGTTAATTTGGGTCTCAAGAAGCCCTGTTGGCTCTGAGAATCAAACCAGGGTAGAGAGGGTCCCACTGTGGTTTAACCAGCCCAGCAATGGCTTTTCCAGACTGCTGTGCTCTCTGCTTGGGCAGCCAGGAGAGCCACAGGCCATGAGGATTCCTAGGAGAAACAACATTTTGGTGGGGAAGGGAAGGGGGAGTGTCTGGGAGGCTCAGGTCACCTGTGTGACTTTTCCAGGTGTCACCTCTGGGAATGCAGCCTGGGGGTTTAGGACTGGGCAAGATTGAGACAGCCAGGACTGTTCAGAGCTGCCTTAGGTAGGACACAGGGATGTGCTTCCATTCCACCCCTTTTCACTGCTCTTACAAGTTCTTACAGGCTCTGCCTGGTTTGGATTTGGCAATTAAAGTATTTGGTATTTGCATTTACCTTAACCTGGCTTTTATTAAGAGGCCTCACAAGGTACCTGGCTGTGCCATCACACATTTAATTCCTCCAGAGGGTGGTCCTGAAACTTCACTAGACAGTCTGGACTGACCAGCAGTGTTCAGTTCACGTTCTGCAGGATATTTGAGGGGTAACAAAATGTTTCCATCTTGGTTCACCCTAAGGCTGCTGATGTGAGTCTGTGGGAAAAGAGGCAAATGCTGGTGGCCTCAAAAGCTTGGTGACACATCCAGAGCTGATGCTTAGAATGTGGGCACCAGAGGGATCCCAGAAGGGCACTTAATGGATGTGTCCTGAGGGCATTTTCCCTTTCCTTTAAAAGAAAAATATCTGCTCCTATCATTTAAACAAAACTTACCTCAGCTTCTGGAAGTGAGGAGAAGCCTTGTGGGAATCAGTTCTCCACATGTGTGGCTTTGCACATAAATAAACAGCCATTACTCCTGAGTGCTGTGTGTGTGCGTGGAATAATGTGGGAAGAAAGAGGGGGATTTTACCCTAACAAGCTTAGAAATGCAGAGTTCTGGAAAGATTTAAGAGGGGGTAGCTGTCAAGCAAGCAGTAACCCAAACAATACATGGGCTGAATGAAAATTCGGAGTACTGCTGCTTCCCACTCTAAATGCTCTGTGAGTAGCTTAGCTGGGAGAACTCTGCAAGGAGTCATTTGGGGGGCAAGGAAGAAAGGAAATGTCAGCAAGATGTCTCTGAGACAATGAGTGGAAGAGTTTCAGAAAATTGTGCCTGTACAACTCATCAGGGAGGAGGTTTCAATGCAGCATTGTGGGGGAAGGAAGAGTAAATTTTATAAAAAAAGGGGAGTAGGAAGCAGTAAAAGTCTCCATAGGCCTTTCAAAGTGAAGGTGAGGAGCTCAGGCTCGTACTGTGTCACTTGCCAACTACTTCATGTCAGAATTGATTATAAATGTGAATGTGCAACACAAAAAAGCTGTCTCTGACTTATTTGTGACTGCACTTAGTGGAAAACACATTGTGGAACTGATCTTGGTGGAGGTGCCAGCTGCCTGATGCTGTCTGTGTTTTGCAGGTGTACAGGTGGGATGACCACTCCAGTCTGGTTCTGCAGAGCCTGAACGAGCAGAGGCACCGAGGCCTCTTCTGTGACATCGTGCTGGTGGTGGACGAGCAGAGAGTCCCGGCCCACCGGAACCTCCTGGCTGTGTGCAGTGACTACTTCAACTCCATGTTCACCATCGGCATGAGGGAGGCCCACCAGAAGGAGGTGGAGCTTTTCGGAGCCTCCTACATCGGTCTCAAGGCCGTGGTGGATTTCCTGTACGGCAGCGAGCTGTCTCTGGACGGAGGGAACATCGACTACGTGCTGGAGACAGCTCACCTGCTGCAGATCTGGAAGGTGGTGGACTTCTGCTGCGAGTACCTGGAGAACGAAGTCAGCGAGGAGAATTACCTGTACCTGCAGGAGCTGGCCTCCATCTACAACCTGAAGCGCCTTGACTCCTACATCGACTCCTTCATCCTGCAGAACTTCGGCACGCTGTCCTTCACCCCGGACTTCCTGCAGAACATCTCCCTGCAGAAGCTGTGCCAGTACCTGGACAGCAGCGACGTGCAGCAGGAGTGCGAGCACGACCTGCTGCAGGCCGCCCTGCAGTGGCTCACGCAGTACCCGGAGCGGGAGAACGAGGCTTACCAAGTGCTGGACAACATCCACTTCCCCCTGATCCCCAAGAGCGACCTCCTGCACCGGGTGAAGCCTGCCGTGTGCTCGCTGCTGCCCAAGGAAGCCAACTGCGAGGGCTTCATCGAGGAGGCCGTGAACTACCACAACAACGTGGCGGCGCAGCCGGTGCTGCAGAGCAAGCGCACGGCGCTGCGCACCTGCGAGGAGCGCCTGCTCTTCGTGGGCGGGGAGGTGTCGGAGCGCTGCCTGGAGCTCTGCGATGACACCTGCTTCCTGGACACCAGGAAGGGACAGTGGGTGGCAGAAACGCCTCTGCCGGCCCGGCGGAGTCATCACTGCGTGGCGGTCTTGGGAGGATTCATCTTCATAGCCGGGGGCAGCTTTTCCCGGGACAATGGAGGGGATGCGGCGTCAAATCTCCTATATAGGTATGATCCCCGCTGTAACCAGTGGATAAAGGTGAGGCTTGAGCTGTATTATTTCTCTGTTCAAAGTCCTTTATGTTTACAGTGTTTTCTCTTTTGCTGATGGAAGGACAGGGCTTGTTGGCGTAGTCAACATGGCAGCACTTGCAAATGAAAAGTCAAGTTAGTTAAGTTGAAGCAGCTGCTTGAGTCCTTTGTGGGAATGCTCAAATTACACAAAGAGCAAAAGAGTTTGGGGCAGACATTCAGCTTCGTTTGGGATTTGGGCATCTCATCTGAGAAATTCCTGATTATAATCCACCCGCAATTCTTTAGATTACTTGTGGAATAATTCTGGAATGGACTTGGAGTTGATTGCTTGGTTCATCTTCCTCAAGCTGATATAAATCAGAAATGGGTGTGATGTAGAAAGGAAATGTCTCTGACAATTGTCAAGTGTCTCTGTGCTAAATGTCCCTTAGAACGAGCTCTTTGCTCCCAGTGCTGCCACAAAACCATTCATCTGTGTGGGTTACTGCGCCACTCCTTATTCCCATATGGACCAATCATTGTTCCTGTATGGACCAGCTATGGTTCCATATGAACCAGTCATGATTGCTCTATGGATCAGCCATCCTGGATGGTTCACCTGTGCTTTTCAGTGGTTCCAATACCTGTTTCTTGCAGAGTTGGGAAGGAGTTCCTATAAACACCAACTTTTATAGAGTAACCTGTCTTTTAGAGGTTTCGTGTTTTCCCCTTGTTGAAACGGATGCTACTGCAGAAAAACAGAAGTGTTTTTTGAATATAATGGTCAAAATCATAATCTCTCCTTACCAAATAGAGGGGAAGGAGCAACTTCCCCATCCTCAGACATGAATAGTCCTTAAATCCCTCTCTTACCAGACACTGGAAGATGCCAGCAGGTCATTTTCTTTACCAGGTTGCCTCCATGAGACAGAGACGAGTGGATTTCTACCTGGGAGCCATCACTGACATGCTGGTGGCTGTTGGTGGCAGGAATGAAAACGGAGCCCTGTCTTCAGTTGAGACCTACAGCCCTCAGAAGGACTCCTGGACATACATAGCAGGACTGCCCAGGTAAGTGAGCTGCCTGGAAGCTCCCCTGTGTTTGAAGAGTGGTAGTATAGGGAGCTTGTGTGGCTTTAGTTGATGAAGGGAACCCTGGAGGGGAGAGAAGGGGATGTAAAAGCAATGTGGCATCAGCCATACCAACCACAGCAGCAGTTGGGAACTGAGCAGGCAGTGTGCTTGTGTCAGCAGGGTTTTAATTTTCATCCCAAGGTGCGTCTGGAGGATGGGAGGGAGAGCTCTGATCATTTCATTCTATAATTCTTACAAAGCTTTTCCTGAGGCCACTTGGAGTTGAATATTTTCAGAAGCACTTTTCACATCTTGGTCATTTCTTTGGCCTTACTTTGTCACCTTGGTGTGATGATTTTCCTTGTAGGGTGTTTGTGTTGGGCTGCTCAGGCTGGCTGTCACAGCTAAACACATTTACCTGTATTGGAAATACAGAACCCTGGCAAATGTGAGCTCTCTCTCTCTGTCTGAGTTAAAACCTGGCTGTTCTGCTTTTGAGAGGTTTAAGCCCTGCAGCTCTGTGGTAGCAGACAGGACATTGCTGTGTCTTGAATCAACGTCAGAGCAGTGACTTTGTAAGGACAGCAGGACAGCATTCCATTTGCTAGCAGTGACTCAGATTTAGTGCTGTTTCACATTTGTGGGAATCACAGGGATGTTGGCTGTAAGGATGGTGTTTCCATGATGTCTGAAAGCTCAGCAGCAGTGCTGGCTTTCCCAGCAGTGCCATCACAGAGCAGGTTCCTGCAGTTTGGTTTGAGAGTTCAGGTTTTTCCCTGCTCCCTGAGCTGCAGAGCCAGAGGCAGCCAGTGAAGGCACAGAAGCCTGTTGCCCAATTCTATTTTGGGCAGGTGCTGCAATGCAAGGCTGATCCAGGCTAACAGCTGGGCTCGAGTGCTCTTCACAAGCAGGATGCTTTTTTATTTCTGTTCACTTAGGCAGATCCAGCAGCTGGGGCTAAACACCACAGCCCTTCCTAGGAAGCTGTGTAGGAGAATATCTTCATGTCCTAAATCCTTCTGTAAACTGGGGTCACCTGTGAGGTGTATCCTGTGTGGATATTTTTACTCATAACTGATCCTGGGGAAGTTCACACAGTTGGATTAATCCACCCAGACTCTCTAAAAGGAGCAGTTTGCCTGCATATTCCAACTGCTGCCTGTGTGCTGGCTTTGGGAATTCTGCAGCTGCAGCATTTAAAGTGAACTTTGACTTGTGGGTGTTAATTTTTTATTAGATTTCCTGGCTGGTCTGCTTGGACAAGGCAAAAGTCCCCTCTTAGGGGATAGACCCCTCTCAGGATGAATTATTCCTGCATCCAAATAAATGATTCTGCATTCTCTCTTCCTGTTGCTCTGTCCTTGTGTCAGCTCAGCTGTGTGGTGACAGCTCCCCACTTTTCCATGCAGCTGCTGTTTTGCACGTTTAAGTGTCTTTAGTTAGATCTTAGTGGACTCTTGGTCCTTTTGGATTTTTTGTCTTTTCAGCCTTTTTTTTCCATTTGGTGCTGGGCAGTGAATTGTTTGAGTTTGAATTGTTTCTGCACAGAAGGAACAAGGCAAAAAGAACTTTATGCAGGTTGCAAAAGGCCAGACTCAGAGGTGAGGAACAGAAACCTTTCTGACACACGTCCACTGCTTGAGCCGGGTGGCTCTGGCAGATTTGGGGCTGCTGAAAAGGGTCTGGGCAGCCCCTCCTTGAGGTACTTGAGGTGGAGCTGTTAGAGCAAGTCCAGAGGAGGCACCAGGATGATCAGAGGGGTGGAACACTTCTCCTAAGAGGAAAGACTGAGAGAATTGGGATTGTTCAGTCTGGAGAAGAGAAGCTTCAGGGTGACCTAACTGTGGCACTCCAGTGCCTAAAGGGAGCCCACAGGAACCATGGAGAGAGATTTCACAAGGGCCTGGAGTGCCAGGACAAGGGGGAATGGCTTTCCACGAGCAGAGGGCAGGGTTAGATCAGATTTTAGAAAAAAATTCTTAGCTGTGAGATGGTGAGGCCCTTCTCTGGTTGCCCAGAGAAGCTGTGGCTGCCCCATCCCTGTGAGTCTGTGATTTACTGGCAGTGGAAGAAGGATGAGAGAGGATTCTGTGATCCATTCAAGACTAGAAGCATTCGAGCTACAGTTCCTCCAGCCTGCTCCACTCTTCCCTTCAACACACTCCTCATCTGATCTCTGTGATCCTCCTCACCACATGGTTTTGTTCCTCAAACAGATTTAAGTTCTTGTTTCACTCAACATCTCCCCCAGCTCTCTTCCAGCAGAAAGACTTCTCATGTAGAGGAAACCAGAAGCTCCAGTCCTCTGCTTCCTGACTGCCTGATAAGGCATTGTATCCCAACAAAACCTCTTCTTTTCCTTTGTTTTTCTGTCTTCTTCCCTCTGAAGAGAACATGTGCAGGTGTTTTGGTCCTCTTGGGAGCATGACCACCAGCAGCAGGCTTTTTGGTGCCATTCCTGACTGCCCCAAGCCAGCAACTGCCTGGAATCCTGTTCCCTGGAGTGACAGGCTCGTGTTGAGGTCATTCTGGGGTGTGGGCTTGTGTTGTTCGACTCGAGCTGTGTGGGGTGGGACTCCCAGAGGTTGTTTGTTAAAGCTTCTATGCTGAATATCCCAAAAATGGGTTTGTTTTGTTGCTTCTCAAGGGGCAGAGCTTGCCACATGTGTGGAGATTTGCAGGGAAAGGCAGTGGTTGTGTCCTTGAGCACACATGCCAGCACCAAATCCCGTGTCCGTGCTGCTGCTCGCAGTCTCGCTCCTCCAAGGAAGAGCTTTACAAGCTCTTCTTTATCTCCTCTTACCCCCCTCTCCTTCCCACCCTATAAGGTCAAAACAACACGTTGTTTTCCCTAAGCACACTCTTGGAAGGAGCTGAGCTGTTTTGACTGAACTTAGGCTGTCTTGCTGGAGAAGCAAACAGCCTCTCGGGGCAGATGCTTTGTGGGGAAAACTTCAGCCAAGTTGTCTAAAGGGTGGACGGGGTCCAAGCCTGCTACAAAGGAGTTCAATTTGCCTGATGCTCATTAGGGTCCTTGCTTGTGGGATACCTTTCCCTTTCTTCAGAGAGGTCCTATATTTTTTGCCCCTTTTCCCAGAAACTGGGAGCAGTTTCTGTCATAGTTTCTAGCCCGGCAGGGAGCAGCGGTGGCTGAGCAGAGCAGGAGGTGGGGCAGCGTGTTCTCATCCCCAACAGACCATGAAAAAGTCTGCTGCAGACAGCAGCAAAATTAATTGAGTGGCCCTAGGTTAAAGTTTGGCAGAACAACTGAAAGCTGCTGTGTGAGGAGCTGTGTTGGAACAGGCTGGGGAGAGATGGTATCTGCTCTGCCAGTTGGGTCATGAACGATCTCTCAGGGCTACGACAGGTGGACACCAAGACTGAGAGCAGCCACAGCTCACCTGGACTTTGGTTGGAGTAGGGGATTCCCAAAGCTTTACTGAGTTATGTGCTCTTCTGTCTTGGGCAGTAAATGGTAGGTTTTCTGGCATTTGAATGGTGTTACTGGGTCAGGAACTAATTTTTCAGCACTGTATCTGGGTTAAGGCATTCAAAATCGGCACCAGGCTCCAGCAGATGTTAAAATCAAATCTGCTTTCTCTTAATGCCTCTGCTTTTTTCTGGCCACTCTTGCAGATAACGCTGCCAAAATGCTCAATGTTCTCTGTTGGAGGATGTCTAGACCCACTCTATTGATGTGCCTGTCCTGTTGCCCATTTAGAAATGCCCCTCTCTCAATCACGGGGCTTGTAGAAAAGATTTGTATTGATTGGTTTCAATTTATGCATCTATTTCATGCAGTTCCTAGGAAAGTGACGCTGTTTTGGATGAGCTTTCACAAGTGAAAGTCTCAAAGTGAAACACCTCTGGTGCCTTTCAGTGGGTAATTGTCCTATACTGTACAATAACAAATTGGTGGTTGATTTGGTGCTTCAGATCTGATGGCTTCTGTCAAAGCACTCTCTAGCTGTTGCTGTTTCCTGGACACAGCCACTGACTGAGGCAAAAGAACCAGATCAGTGCTTTTTCTGCAGCTGCCTATGCTGGGCTGCATGCCTGTGCTTGAGAGACAATGGCTATTGCTTGCTTACCTGTTCAGAGCTCCAGAGCAGGAGAATATTTAACCTACTTCTCCAAAGGCCATGCAGGTTTTTATTAACTCAGGGTAATTTTTTCCCTGAACGGTGAATGCAGTGTGATTGCAGCAGTGCAGGGCTCTGGGGTGCCAGAGGACATTCCATGTCCTCACACTGTCCTCTTCCTGACTCCTCCAAACTCCCTGGTACAGCACAGCCTCCAGGCAGCTTGGTTTCATGTGGGTTTAAAATCTGCTGCAGTCTGAAATGAACTGAACTCAAGCTGCCCATCCCACCCCCAGACTGAGCATTTTAAACCCACTCCTGTGTATGTAGAGAAACACAGGCTCTGACAAGCAGCCCAGCAGCCACTGGAGATACAGTTCCCTGTTCTTGTCTGGAAGAGACCTCAGCCAAGGAGCAGCATCTCTGGGCACTTCACCTGCCTGGTATTTCTGTCAGGGTGAAAGCCAGGGGTTCACGTGCTCAAGGTACATCATGTCCACCAGAAGCAGTGAGTGTGAATTAACTGCTTCCATCATGAGGCACATTGAGAGCTGTGGAAATTCTGAGTTGCCTTTTTGGATAAAGTCCATAACTGTACCAAAGCTCTCTCCTTTTTTCTTCCCATCTTTTCCCTGAGAGGCCAAGAAGCAGAACAGCTGTGAAGTCACCTCTGCAAGATCTCCAGGGCTGGAGCTGCAGCCCCCATAGTTGAACAGACTGTCCTGGTCACTCAGCTCTGTCAGCCCAAGCGTGTCAGGGATTTTTCTGCTTCTTGTAGCAGGAACCTATTAAAATATCTGATTGAGACAGGGATCAGAGGTTTTGGTAGGCATCTAGGATAATAACCACCTTTTAGCTTGTCTCAGAAGCACTGTGCTTTCAGGGTAAATGTGGGGTTTCTTTCCTAGTCCGTCTTCTCCCTTGGCACAGAAGTGCTGGCACTCAAGGTGCGTGGAAGATGTTCCGATAGCGTTTGTGTGGCTCAGAGAAACCATTAGCCTGCAAAGTAAAAACAGCTCAAGGTTCTCTCCACACAGAGCTCCAGCGTGTTCAGGCACGGTTCAAAGGCTACAGCAGTGCTAACAGAGGTTTGTCTGCCGTGGAGGTTGCGTGGTCTCTGGTGCCTGACTACAAAGGATGGTGGTGGAGGCTCGTGAGTGCAGCCTGATGAGTACATTGCTCTGTGCCCTGTGGGGATTGAATCGTTTGGGCTCCTTGTGAGAGCCAATTTGCTGTGGCTGGTGCTGCATCTTTTGACACCCCAACTCCCCCAAAAGAGGGAAAAAACTTATATAGAAATGATCTGTTCAAAGCCAAAGCAGCTGATGCTGTTCATCACCTGGGCTCAAAGGGGTTTGGTCAGGAATAGCCTAGCGTGAAGTTAAGAACAGCCTGGAGATTTAGGTTTGTAGTGGGTTTATTACAGATGATCCAAGGGGGTTTCCCTCTGCCCTGTGGATGCAGCATGCGTGGTGCTGCTTCTACCATCTCATTTTCTCTTACCATGATCTGTGATGGGCTGGGGTCTGCTGCCTTGTCCTGGGGTGAGCAAAGAGGTTCCCAGCTGTAGGGCAGAGGTGGTAGAGCAGACAGATGGCTCATGAAAATGACACTGCCTGTGTTGGGACTGCTGGTGAATCAGGCAGAGAGCGTGGTAAGAAATGTATCCAGTGATCCTGAAGCTGTGCAAGGACAAGGCAGCAGCAGTTTTTCTTCTTGGTTTCTCTTGGTTTATCCCTACTGGTAAATCTGAGAGGTGTAATGATTATTTCCCCTTTCTGTCACAGAAACCCTTACTGACGTGCGGATTTTTTTCCTCTCAGGCTCTCTCAGACTGATGCAAGCCGAGCACTGGAGCAGAAATATGGGAGTGAAGGTCATGCCAGTAGAGCAGGATGGGCTATTTCTGTTGTGTGACACACTCTAGAGGATGCATTAAAAAGTGATTGTCATACCTCAGTGCTCTGTAGTGACCAGCTATGGAAAGGGTGATTTAAAAGTGGTTGTCAGGCTGTGCACTCTGCAGTGCAGGGTGAGGCCTGGGAATGAGAGGAGTTACTGGGTAACCGCCAGATCTGGGATTCTTCTGCCTTTAGTTACTGTTTATTTGCTTCTTTAGCACAGTCCCTGCTGCATGCTTGTGTGCCTTGATAAAACCCACAAGGACTGTCCCTGTTTGCCTGCCCCAGGTTTACCTACGGCCACGCTGGCACCGTCTACAAGGAATTCGTGTACATTTCGGGAGGCCACGACTACCAGATCGGCCCCTACAGAAAGAACCTGCTGTGCTACGACTACCGCACGGACGTGTGGGAGGAGAAGAGGCCCATGATCACTGCCAGGGGCTGGCACAGCATGTGCACCCTGCAGGACAACATCTACTCCATCGGCGGCAGCGACGACAACATCGAGACCATGGCGCGGTTTGACATCCTCAGCGTGGAGTCCTACAGCCCCCAGTGCAACCAGTGGACCAGAGTGGCCCCTCTGCTGCAAGCCAACAGCGAGTCGGGGGTGGCGGTTTGGGAAGGCAAGATTTACATCCTGGGAGGCTACAGCTGGGAGGAGGCTGTCTTCTCCAAAACAGTCCAGGTCTATGATAAGGAGAAAAATAAGTGGTGCAAAGGGACGGACTTGCCCAAAGCGATTGCCGGAGTGTCCGCGTGTGTCTGTGCCCTGAAACCCAAAACAGAGGACAAAAAGAAAAAGATAAAAACAAAAAAACATCAAGATCGAGGAAGATGACCACTCCTGGATAGCCACCCTTGGATGGTGGGCTCCTTGTGTTTAGACATTTCTATCTAACCTTTATTCTTTTTCTTTTTAAACAGGGTGGGGAGGGCATCTTCTGAAGCCTCAGAAAATGTACACTTGAATGTGGTTTTTGGATTAAACTCATGTTTAAGGTAAAAACAACAAAAGAAACCAAAAACTCCCCCTCTTGCTCTACAAAGGGTGATGCGGCCAGAGAGGTTCTGCCGATCTCTCCTGAATGTCAAGGCTTAGGCTTCTCCTTCTGTGGTTCATGGCATTTCCACATACATCGTATTATATCGACGTTTTAAGGAAATTTTTAAAAACAACTTTTATACTTTTTTATACCACATTTTGCTAACTCAGTCTCTCGTTTGCCATGTATTATGTTGTTGACTGTGGAAGCTGCTGCTCCGTGCTCGTGACCCCGTTGTTGGTGTCAGGATCCTCGTGTGGTGATCTTTGGTCTCTGTGTGGCTTGGCCAGGACGCGGTGCAGCTGCTGGAGCAGCGCTGGCATTCCCAGCATTGTCAGGCAGTCAGCTGGAATTGGGACTATTGTCACAATTCCAGCTCCCCCAGAGCCCAGCTCGCCAGCCATGCCCATAAACACCCTTTATTTCAGTGACTGCTGATCTGCTGAGTGGATTTCAAGGGCTTTGGTTTGAAGTTCAGCTGTTGATCGTTGCTGTTATTTTTTCCTCAGTCCTCCTCTCCCACGTTCCTTTCCATGAATTTCAGATTTGCCTTTTCTCCCACCTGGTGTATGTGCAGGTGATATCCTGCTACCCTCATTCTTTTGTCTTTTCTTCCCCCCTCAAACTACTTACCTCAATAATTAGAAAACACTAAGAAAACATTTTTGCACTTAATTTCATTTGAAACTCTGGTGAATCAAAAACCTACTACAAGCACGTGTGTATCAAAAGAGGTAACAATAAATTTCTGGAGTGCAAGGAGGTTATAGGTTGTTTCTTCAATGCTAAGAAAACTAGTTGGAATTAATTTTCTGAAACTCTTTGAGGTGGTTTTTTTTTTTTTGGTGTTTTTCTTTAATTTAAAAAAAAGCCTCAGGAGTCAATCTTTCATTTGCATTAATGGATTTATTTTAAAGCCTTTGTGTACTGCATGAGGTAATGGTTATTCTTTTTTAGCCTAAAAATAAATTTCAAACAAAACCAAAAAAAAACCCAAATGAAACATTTTGGTTATGACAAACTCATTGACAAGTTTTTGGGGTTATTTTTTAAATATCTGAAATCCTTGCTATGTTGACTGACAACTACTTAACTTTTTGGGAACATTTCATGTGTAAGTATAGAACAAAAATTTCAAAGACTTGCTTTTTTTCTGTTACTGGGTTGCTTGTTACTATATCCCCTCTTTTAATGTGTTTATGTATTACATTAATGTCTGGGAACAATAAATCCCGTTTAGAATATTCTATTCATCACAGCCTGATGTCTTGTGTATTGATTTCATTGAGGTTTTCCTTTTTGATTAATTGGAAAAAAATAATCCTGTAATCATTTTTCAGTGAAATTCATAATGGTGGAAACATTTTAGTAGGAAGGTAAATTTAACAATATGAAGTAGAAATATAACTTATTTAGATAATTCATTTTTCTGCATTTTTCTGCTCCAGACAGTCAGAAGAGACGAGGGGGAATGGCTCCCCACTGCCAGAGGGCAGGTTTAGCTGGGGCATTGGGAAGAAATTCTCCCCTGTGAGAGTGGGGAGGTGCCGGCACAGGGTGCCCAGAGGAGCTGTGGCTGCCCCTGGATCCCTGGAAGTGTCCAAGGCCAGGTTGGACAGGGCTTGGATCAGCCTGGGACAGTGGAAGGTGTCCCTGCCATGGCAGGGGTGAAACAAGATGAGTTGTGAGGTCCCTTCAAGCTAAACCATTCTGTAATTCTATGAAATTCCTTTTCACATTTTTGTAGGTCTGACAAAAGATCCAATCCAGGATCTTTGTAGGGTGGTTTCAAAGACAGTATTTAATGGAGCGTAGGTAAACAATTTACAATTTCTTAACATTAATCCTCATTGCGTGAACAAAAGGCATCTTCAGTGCTCATCAAAGCAAGCTTTCTTTCCCCTGGTCTGTGTGTTGGGGAAAATACCAAAGCCAGAGGCTGTGAGGGAGTGTGGGACATGTTCTGTGTCATTAGAGGTCACTGGGGGATCCTACCTATTGCTGCCAGAAGCATTTTTCCATTACTAAAGGAACAAGTGATCCCCATTTGCACCTCCAAGCCCATGGCAGGGAGCACTCCTAAAGGCAAGGTCTGGCAGAGTGCCCCTAGATTTGGGATGTTGTGGATCCAGATGTGGCTGCTCAGCCCTGGATTTGGGATGTTGTGGATCCAGATGTGGTTGATCACCCCTCGGGAAGTGTCAGCAGAGAGCTCAGGGACCTTGGAGATCACCCTCACTCCCCAGGGCTGCATGGCTTTGGGGAATTGGTGTGCTGGAATTTCTGAAAAATGAAAGGGAGAATTTGTGTGACATCAGTGGATCTCTGCTCTGGTTTTTGAGGCCTGAACAATCCTCTTGGTGAGGAATTAGGGTTGGCAGAGGAAAGGTGTATTCTCTTGCTTCGGCCTGGCTCCTGAACCTGCAGATCCCACTGCCTTCATCCCCAAGCTCTGTGGAGCATTTTACTCTTGCCAGGAAGCACAGCTCTTTCTTCCTGCCTCAGGGAAAAATAACTACTGCTCTACCTCATTTCTAAAAAGGTTTCCATTGCCAGATTCTGAGGAAAGCTCGTTTTACCTGAAACAAAGCAGCTACCAAAACCCTCAGGTTTGTTCTTCCCACACTTCCATGCCTGTATTGTGGCATTGGCATGTCAAGGAGCTGCTGCTATAACTCTGACGCTGGATAACAAATCCCTCGAGGTACCCTGAGGAAAAATCACAGCCTGCTGTGAGATGCAGTTGTTTTGAAGGCTTGAGAAAGAAAATGGAAATATTTTTGTTCTCGAGTAGAAATTTTAAATTGAGAAAAATGTGCTGGTGTCTTTCTGTGTAAGAGATCTGACTGCTTTCAGTGGTTTCTTCCAAAAACTGCTGATTTTCTGGGCGCTGTTTAGGATTCTGGATTCTTGCGTGACAGCAAAAAAAGGGGTTGTGTGTCTAGGGAATGTAAAGAAATAATTTAACCTTCAGTGCTCTTTCTGAGAGCAATTTAACTTGCCGAAAACAAGCCCAGATTTGAATTGTGATTCTTCCCTTGCTGGTATGTCTTAGCAAAGCTCTGACCAGTAAGACAAAAAAAAAGCTGGAATGACAGGCTTTAAATATTATTTTATTTCAGCTTCTTGAGCTATTTCAGTTCTCATGAATGTAATAATGAGCGAGATGCTAATTATTCCTTCATGAACTTATGGCTTTGGGGTGTCTCAGGGATCAGGTCAGGGCAGATGGAGAGGTTCTGTCACCACGCTGTGAGAGTCAGAGTGCAGCTCAGCTACTCACAGCTTCCTCCTCCTTCCTGGTGACTCCACACAGGCAGGACACAGCCCAGTCACGGGGGGGTTGATGCTACACACATGTTTTAGCTCCTCCTGGAACTCAGAGTAGTTTTGGGAAAAAAATATACCTTTTTTTTTATGATGAGTTCAGTGACAGAACATGAGGGGAAGGTGAGATGGAGACTTGCTGGTTCTTTTGATGCTCCAGAACTGACAGAGATGATTTAATGAGAAGAGGGAGGACTTATATTTAAGATAAGGATGAATAAGTCACAATTAATTAGCCAGAAGTTCTGCATAGATAATGGAAACACTGAGTCAAGCATCCACATGATCTACTAAAGGCTTGTCCACACTTCAAATGTGTTTCTGCTTGACCTAGTCCATGCTTAAGCTTTTTACATCAGCAAATATTTTACAAGTGTCCAGAAAATTTAGGAATATGGAATTTGAAGTCAGGTTTGCATTAACCCATTTTTGGAATTAAATAGCTGCTGTTTGCCTGTGTTACCTGTCTAAAGTCTTCCACCTGCAGAACCACTCCTGCCCTTCTGCTCTTAGGTTCCCCTTGCCCACTCCCAGGGCCTGCTGCTGGCCTGGGACATTTAGGGTTCAGAAAGTTAAAAAAATATTACCAAGGCTGAAAACTGTACAATTTTTGATGCTGACCTAGAGCTGTCTGGTTCTTTATTGAAAACTTAAATATCCTGTTTTTAATATGAGCCAACTGACCCTCCCTGAGATCCAGCCAGGGCTTGCAAATACTTTATGTAGGCAAAGCCCTTACTGGACCTAGAAACTGTTGGGATAAAGGTTCTGCATCTCTAAAAAAAAAAAAAAAAAAAAGTCCTGGGAGCCCCTGAAGCTCTTGGCACCCGTATGAAGCTGTACAAGGACAGCACTAAACCTCCTGAAGTGCTAGAGTATTCCCTCTGTCCCTGAAAAAGTGGGTGTGAGGGTCCCGAGTGCTTCAGCTCCCCAAAAGCCACCCTCAGAAGCGCTCAGGAGCCACGTGCACACATCTCCTGCCACTGTCACCAGCACAGATCTCATGACCTTGTGAAGTCCCACGGAGTCCCCAGCACTTTGCATTTCCAGCAGGATAAAGAGCAATTACCTGGAGACAGATACCCTGGGAGTGGTTTGTCCAACTCCCGGGCTGCTGCCAGACAATCCTTTATTTCCACAGCCATGGACCTCATTTGCCTTTGATAAATCTGCATGTTGGTAGGAACATTGCTCCATGAATCTTAAGAATGTGCATACGCAGAAAGAAAAATACAACGCTGGTTATTTTTTTAATTTGGAAAAGCAGCTTGTTGATTTGGAGGGATAATTCACAGCCACTGGCATAAAGGATGTAAGAAAATACAACTGGTTTATGCAATGAAAGCAGTAATGAAATAACAGGCCACTAAAACCGGCCAAAATTAATAAAACAGAACTGAGATGGAAACTTTGTAGCAGGTAAGTTTCATCAAAGCACGGTATTACAAAAAAAAAATCCCCTTGGATTATTAGGAAATATTGTGGTAAAATGTTAACAGACTTTATAATTAAACTATACTAAGATGGGATAAAATCGAACGTGTTGAAAATGTTGCTGAACGAGACAGTGACATCCTTTCTCTGTTTTCACCCTCAGCTCTGGGCTTTAGCAGTTTTGGTATTTGAATTTTCTGCTTTCCAGGCTGAAGACACTGTGCTCATTTGTATTTTGAAACAGCCAGTTTACTTAGGCAGCATTGTGGGCAGAAGGGAATTTTGCCTTCAACCAGACTAGCTACGTAAGGGTTTTCACTCCATTATTTACCTTGTAAATTAGACTCCCGAGGGGAGAGGGGCTTTCAGACCTTTGAAATGCTGTATGCAAAAAGCCTGAACATTTGTCTCCCTTTTTTGTTTCTCCCTTTTAATATTAACCAGCCATTTTCACTGCTGGTTCTCTGCCTCAGGACAGCACAGCAACACTTGCAAAAGACAAAAGCGAGGGAGCGGCAGCTGGGTGTGTCAGCTGGAAGGGTGAAGGCTGATAGAGAAAATCATTTATTGTCATTAGCACACGGTAAGTGTTGCTCCTCACAAAACAGGAGGGACGTGTCCTCGTCGTGGAGACGGGGAGGAATCTTCTGCCCACTTTCCGTGAACAGCCAAAGACACAAAAGTTCTTGCGTGCTCTTCCTTTTCTTCTACTCAGCTTTCTCACTGATATAAAGTTGTCTCTATCACTCGCCGCCCAGCCGATTTAGACTTTTGCAGGACTTGGTAGTTTGTTTCAGGAAAAAAAAAAAAAAAAGTATGGAGTAAATTAGCGATTAATTTGATGGATTCTTGCCTGGGGGTTTCAGTATTGTTATGACTCAGTCCTCTGAAAATCATGAGATTGGCTTAGTCATTCCTTTTTTGTTGTTTTTTTTTCCCCCCTTTTCTTTTTTTCCTAGACACAAACCCTGAACCCTTTCCCACCCTGGTTATTTGGGACAGAGGTGGGACAGCTTCACTCTGGCATCATCTGGGCACGCAGCCTTACCTGTCACCTGCCAGATTGACCCTCAGCACATGCCCTCCTACAGATGAGATTTGGACATTAGGAGGAATTTCTTCACAGAAAGGGTGATTAAACATTGCAGTGGGCTGTCCAGGGAGGTGGTGGAGTCACCATCCCTGGAGGTGTCCAAGGAACGCCTGGATGTGGCACCCAGTGCTCTGGGCTGGCTGACCAGGTAGGGATTGGTCACAGGTTGGACTCAATAGTCTTGGAAGGAAGGTCCAACTTAATCAAGGAATCACAGAATTATTTGGGCTGTAAAGGATCTGGGGATCACCCAGCCCAAGGACTTTGCCAAGGCAGGGACATCAGGAGCAGATGACACAGGAGTGGCCAGGTGGGGTCAGAATGTCTCCCTCAGAAGAGATTCCACACCTTCCTTGGGTGGCTATTCCAGAGCTCTGCCACCTTACACGAACAGAAATTCTCTCTCATGTTGAACTGAAACTTCTCGTGGTTTAGTTTATGGCCACTGCTGCTCGTCCTGTTGTTGAGCACCTTGAGGAAAAAGGTTTGGCACCAGGCTGGCACAGGGTGCCCAGAGCAGCTGTGGCTGCCCCTGAATCCCTGGCAGTGTCCAAGGCCAGGCTGGACAGGGCTTGGAGCAAGCTGGGACAGTGGAAGGTGTCTCTGCCCATGGCACGGGGTGGCACTGGATCATCTTTAAGCTCCCTCCCAACCCAACCCATCCCATGATTCTGTGATCCTTCTGGCACCCACCCTGGCGATATTTTACATGCATTAACGAGATCCCCTCTCAGCCTCATCTTCGCTAGGCTAAATCCTCCCCGCTCCCTCAGCCTCTCCCGGGCGAGATGCCCGCTGGGATGTTCCAGGGAAGCTTTCCGGGCTCCTCGCCCGCCTGCCCGCCCGGGGCCGCCCCGCTCCCCTCAGGGAGGCGGAGCCGCCTCCCGCCCTTTTCCCTCGGCGCCCTCAGCTCCCGCCCCGTGCGCGCGCAGCGGGCGGGCGGGGACGGCGCATGCGCGGTGCGGCGCGCGCCCGCCCGCCCGGCCCGGCTGGTGCGTGCGAGGGAGAAGATGGCGGCGGCGGGGGCGGCGGCGTGAGGGGCCGGGACCGCCGAGCTCCTCGGGGACGCGGGGCGCCATGGCCCTGCACGGCGCGCAGGTACCGTCCGGGACCGCGGGCACCCTTGCGGCACCGCACTCGGACCCCGCCGGACTCCCGGCGGCGGGCGGGCCCCGGGATGGGGGGGGGAGCGTGGTGGCCGGGAGTAGGCCCAGGGTGATTGTGCACGTTCATTGAATGTGCTGAGGGCGGTGGGGCGGCCTCGGTGCCCGCGGGGACGGCGGATCCGGCGCTCCCGGGGCGGAATTCCCATCCCGGAGGGGTCCGGAGTGCGGGGGGTCGGCCCCTCGCCGGTGTCGGTGTCTCCACGCCAGGGCCCGGAGCGGGGGGTGTCGGTGCTGAGCCCCCGCCCGAGCGTGGCTCGGACAGAGCCCATCGCTCCCGCTGGTCTTTTTTAAATTTTTTTTTTTTTGGGGGGGGGGAGAGGCAGAAACGATTCTATAACGAGAAGGGAATAAGGAGATTTGTAAACTAATCCTCCCCCCTCCCCCCCGCCCAAACACTCGATAAACCCCGGCGCATCGGGGTGCAAAGGGCTGAGTGTTGCAAGATCGCCGTGCACGGGGATGCGTGTGCGGATTCCCTGGATCCCACTGGCTGAACCGGCCCGGAGATTTGTGCACCGAGTGGAAAAAAAAAAAATAAAAAAACTGCAGTCGTGGTGGTTTTTCGCTGGAAGTTTACAGCTCGGTTCCTAGGCTAATCCACTGTGTGCTTAGAGCGAATGATTGAATGGGTTCGCTTCGCTGTTTCTTTCCCTTAAGGTTTTTCTCCCAAAAAGCTTGAAAGCAGCAACGTCAGGAAAAGCGTGTGGAGCTCTGGAGTGTTTTATTTGCAAGACTTAGGTCAACTTTGTTGTTAAGCAAATAATAAAGTTTAGAAAAGTGTGGCGTTAAACGTAATTTTGTTATGGATCCGTGTCTTCTGTCATAGAAAGCACGTTTCATAAAATGTAAGTCATTTCGAACAGGGTGATGCTTTATTATAAGTTTTGGGGGTTTTGGGCTTTTTTTCTCAATGAAGTTAAGTTACACATCAGATGAAGACGTGCACTGGTGGCACTGGTATTTCCATTTAAAAAAGTTCGTAATTGGTGAAAATTATACCGACCTTTCTTGTCCAGCTTGATTTATTTATGTTTGAGAGAAAAACATGAGTGCTTTTGTTAATGTGGGTGTTCCTAAGGCAGCTGCAGTGTCTGGAGTTTGTTTCAAATTTATGACTAATTTTAAAATTTTGGGTCGCTCTAGTTTTATTTCAAAGCGAAGGAAACTCCCTTCCTTTTGGACCTTTTTTTACTATCCCAGTGAATGATTTCTGTAATGCAGATACATCAGAAGGATTCAGTGTCCAATGCAAGAGCTGTTTCACTCCCTGCTTTCTCCCCCCTCAGCCGTGCATGTGGTCAGTTTGAGGAGTTTGGTGTTTAAAATGCAGCTTATTTCATGATTTGGAGGAATTAAGGATTTGTGTTCGTCTGTAGATAATTATGTTGGTGTACTTTAAAACAAAAAAAGGTTAGGCTGATGATTTAGTTTATGGTGAAGTGTTCCATTGCTGAAATTAAAACTGGGCTGTAAATTCATCTTTAATAGCAACTTGAGCACAGACTATTTTAAATCATCCCCCTCTGTAGCTAAAGGTGGATTTTAGGTTTCGTGAGGTTGCTGTTGAAATTGTAATATATTATTTGTTTAAGATAGTTTGCATATAATGTGGAACATATATATTTTGGAAACACATTTGTAAGATATTGTTTAGCTAATGCTTTGTTCATGTTACTAAACACAACCTGGTTTTGGTTTTTTTTTTTCAAATTTAACCAGTTATTGAGATACTGTCTGGGATTTATGTGAGTACATCTTCCAGAACAGTGCTGTGATGCTGAATTAAGGTAACAATGTTTTGGAGCCTTTGGGATGAAAAGCCTGAAGATAAGTTCAGGGATGCAGTTGCACATGTGTAAGGTGTTTCCTTTTTGTTTTAGGATGGTAGTGTTACAGATCAGTAGAAAAAATAAGAAAGTTTTGAACAAAGTTGCCTGTTCTAAGTGCAAGATAAATTAGATTATTGAGTCATTATGTTCATGTCATGTTGCAGAAATAGAAGAACAACACATTTTGTCTACATCTCTAATTTGGGTGTACCATCATTGAGGCATTTTTTGTCACATGGGGAAAAAACATCTTCAAGAAAATCCTGCTGCTCCTCCAGCTAAAATGCAGAGTCAGATTTCTGCCAATGGATGGATTCATGGAATAGTGGGCAGAAATATTTCATCAGTCAGTTTGCACATGGTGACAAATGACTCCTGAAACCCCATCATATCGAATATTTCCATTGATTTTGGGTGGCCAGCTCAGCAAGCACAGAAGTGTTTGGTAGCACAGTTCAGCTGTTGCTGGTGTTTGTACCTCTATTCCCTGTCACTATTTCATAATCATCTCATGAGAGGTTTAAGTGTTGTGTGGGTCTGCTGGGTGTGTGCTGACTGTATTCACAATCTGTCCTTTTTTTAAGGTGAGCTACAAGTAAACCTGCTGTACTGCTCCATGACACTGAAGATGTTAAGCTGATCTAGTTAAAACCACTTGTCATCAAGGGTATCTAAAAATCTCTTAAAAAAAAAAAAAGACAGCTTAAAAACTATTTCCCTGTTTGAAAAGACTAAAACTTTGTAGGAACTGTATAAACAGTTGTTTTAGCCACTTTTTCTATTGTTTTTCATAGAAAGAATTAATACAGATGCATCATTTGTAAATCCTGTGAAAACAAGTTAAGCAGAAGAAAGGATACCATAGCAGAATGAATCATTTATGCTTGTTTTGTTCTTCCACCATTACTGTGGTGTCAAATGAACTCGGTGCCATTTTAAATGTACCACGTTGGCCCCAAACCCAGCTCAAGTGAAAACCAGGCAGGTTTGAGATGAGAAAAAAAGCTGAACAAGCTCCTAAGCTGCTCATCCTCACCCAGCTTGTGTCTGGCCTGGCAACCAGAAGAACTGGAACTCGGAACCCGGCATGCAACCTGACTCCCTGAAACACTGCACTGCAAACTGCCTCTTTTATGGCCGGCTTGGAGGGCTGCTCCCTGGCAGGGTGTAGTTTGGTGTTTCCTTAAGCCAGGACTCTTTCTAGAAGACAAAAAAAAAAAAAAAAGGGCAGCAGCCTGCAGGCATTTGTGCTGTGGTGCCTTTGCAGTGTCTTGCCTGATGTTTTTGGTGATTAGAAAATCGATGTCTCGAAAATAATGTCCAAAAATTGGTTGTTATGCAGCTGGATGAGTTTCTTGTGCACATATGTGTAGTGTTGGAGTGTCCTCATGGGCAGAAAGAAACGTTTGGGGATGGGGCAGTTGGATTCTGTCACGTTTGTGAAATCCACTGAAGATATGGGGGACACCCTGAACACCAAATAAAAGGTGGCCGTGGGAAAGAGCTGCTGGGGAGTGGAATTGGAGGGAGGTGTTTGAGTGCCCCATCTTGCTGCTGCTGCTCAGTTGCTGTCCTGTGTTTTAAAGGGCTGAAGAAGCTGGATTTGTCTCTCCCCACTTCTTTTTCATTGCTCAGAAAGGTCTGGGCTCATCTTTTGCCCCTGGAATGAGCAGTTATTCCAGGCTTCTGTGATCTTGGGAATTCAGGCTGCAGCTGAAGCTGGGAGTTTCGGTAGCCAGAAGGGATCATTTGCCTTTCTAAAATGTGAATGGTGAATCCACACTGAGTAAAGTGGGTGAATGTGGGTTGGTTGACTTAAAAAAAGGAAGTCTGGGAAAACTGACATAGAACTTAAATTTGGAACTATATGGCAGCATGCAAATAGGCTAAAACCCACAGGTTTTGTGAATCACTGCTATTTATTCTGTGCATTCTAGACTATAGCACTGATCTGGAGACTTCTTAGAATGGATCCAGCCATTTACCTATTAATAAATCCAGTTTCTGTAGGCAGTTGCTCAGACATACTGGTGTTTCCATTCATGTAGCTGTTAAAATACTTGTAAATTTAAGTGGGGTTTTGTTTGTAGGTAAACTGAGCAGTCTCATTTCTGTTTAGTGATCGACACACAACATGCTGTGTCGTACAAAACTGCCAAATCTGTTATAATAGAAGTTGCTGGCCTTGGGCCATTGGATTATAGTCATTTGTCACTCTAATGCCATTTCAGCAATGTAGATGTTCATTTCCAAAGAATTAAACATGCTGGAACTGCGGTTTTGCTTTTTGATGGAAGTGTTTTATGTGTGATCATTAAACATACAACTGGGGATTAGGGAACAAAGGGTTATGCTTCGTGGTGAAAAAGTGTGTGTGTGTACATGTGTGTGTGTTTGTGTATTCAGACATTCCGTAATAGAATAGTCTGATATTTTAAAACTGGGGTTCTGAACCCTATTTTTGTTTTATAAAATTGTAACATAGGTATTTAAGACTGTTTTAAGTATTTCCAATAATGGGGCTGTGTTGGTTATTTTTAAAACACTTGAAAGGATTCTGTTTTGTTAGTACTCATGTTAATATATTCATTAATGCTTTAATAGAGTAAAACTTTGAAGTACATTAGTCTTTTCATTTTGTGTTTGACTCTCTAATGCCTAATTTATTTCCAGATATTCCTGATATTTTAAATATGTGTAAGAACTTTTCCTCCTTGTTTGACAGCATACGATTTATTGATCTTCGGTGTGTGCTACAAGGTCTGTTTTTCTTCACCTGTAGTTAGGCAGGAGGAAGATTAAATCACAGTAGTCGTAACAAAGTGTTTGTGTAAGGCTTCTTTGAATCATACACCTTGTGAAAAAAACATCTGTTTTTCAAATCAAGAAAGGCTTGTTGAGATTCTGTGGTAGCCACCAATGTCAGTGCCCTAGGAAAGAAATGCACAGGAGCACTTTGGGGAATTTGCTGCTTGTAGTATTGTATGTGAATTCATGTCATGGATGGAAGCTTTAAAAGAAGCACTGTGTTGTTTGCATTGGAATTATAGTAGGAAAGAAAGGGATATAGATGAGCTGCCATCGAGGGTAATGTTAACACAAA